AAGATGGAAATTCTTATATTTTCCCTCTAAATATATCACATTAAAACTCAATTAACTTCTATTTATGATTACCTAGACACAAAAGGAAGCTTTTTCCATCCAAATCACTGGTCCCAATAAAATAAAGTTTCTCATTAAGAAATAAAAGCACAAGAGACCCCAAGATTAGCAGAAAAGTTATGATAATTTTAGTTTCCGTTTTAATCAAATTCAAAACTATATTCTGTTCCTTAAGCTGCAATGAATCCTAGTAAAATTTTAATATGTCCCTTTTCATTCTACAAAGGCAAAGATAAATTTTTTTAAAACTCTCTTCTAACTTTAAATACAAGCTTTCATTCTCTTGAGATATAATAATATAACTATTCTACTAAGGAAAACTTTGATCTTCTTTAAAACCCTACAGTTGCCATTTATGGCTAAAGTGGTATTTCATTATCATGTTATAGTTTTCCCAAACAGACAAGTACCACCTAAATAGACAGGAAAATACATAATAAATTACTGGTATTGTATTTAGCTATAATCACCAGTCATTTCTAGGCTACCAAGAGAATCCAGGAAAAAGAATAGCAAATTTCACATCCTGGTTGTGGAAATTTTGAAACATGTTTACAAACTCTTTGACATTCCTATCTTCTGAGAGTTGGAATTTGCCTCCTTCTGCATTGAACCCACCTTAGCCAACTCATAAGGAACAGAATGCAGTGGAAGTGATAGCATGTAAAATTCCAAGTCTAACACAGAAAAGGCTCCACAGCCGCTGCTCTGGAGTTACTCACATTAGGAAAAGCCACAACTACACGAGAAGTCCAACAACTTGAGACCCCGTGCTGGAGAAGCCACACGCAGGCGGAGCCCCCTGTGCACAGTCAGCACCAACAGGTAGCCCCGTCCAAGCATCTTATATCTCCAATTCAGCTGACCCATCAGATGACTTTAGTTTCTCAGCCAACAAATCACAGGAATCTCATAAGATAACCTAAGTGAGAACTGCCCAGCTGCCATTCCCAAATTTCTGAGTCATAAAATTGTTAACAAAACAAAAAATGGTAATTGTAAGCAACAAAGTTTAGGACAAATTTGCTGCACAGAAATAATAAGAACGGTTGGGTTTATCCAACTTACATTAAAAACTCTAGACCAGCAGAGAGGAGACCTAGCATCCATTTGCAACTCTACTACTAATGAGATGGAATTCACCTGTCAAGTGGATCAGTTAATTATTTGAAATTCAGCTTCCTCATCTACAAGAAAGTTAGGCAAGAGGAATGCTCTAGAATTCATAATTTTTTAAACCTTCAAATTGCCTCCTTCTGATTTTCATTTTTGTTTTGCTATATTATACAACTTTTCTATTTCTAGCTCAAGATTTGACTTTGTTAGTATGTAGGTCAATAAAAACATATATGGAATTTTTGATTAAAAAAATTATGACTGCAATCTTAAAATAGAAATTTTCCTATCACCAAAACTCTTCTATGACTGGCCCTGGGTAATGGTCTGGTCTTTGTACTTTTCCATACTTGTCATCTTAAATATGTGTGTGTGCCTTTTTTAAACAGAAACATACAATCTAATAAAATTTAAGATATGGCTACCCTATAGTCTGGGGCTTTCCAGATGCCACTAGTGGTAAAGAATCTGCCTCCCAATGCAGGAGACGGAAGAGACCCCGGTTTGATCCCCAGGTCAGGAAGATCCCTGGAGAAAGGAATGGCTACCACTCCAGTATTCTTGCCTGGAAAATCCCGTGAACAGAGAAACCTGGCGGGCTACACTCGATGGAGTCCCAAAGAGTCAGACACAACTGAACGACTAACACTTTCACTTTTCACCCTGTAGTCAAGCAATTCCGTACCTTAGAGAGTTATCTGCTTGAAAAGAAAAACAAGCACTGTATCTTATAATAAAAAATTGGAAATTATAAAAAGACTGGATAAACTGTAGCTTATTCATATTTCAGAATACTGGTAAAACAACTACAATGTATAAAATTTGAGTAAACGTTCAATTTAAAATTTTAAAACTAAACTTCATTACTCTTAATCCATGCTTTAATAAACTTATTTTCTCTGGAAAGACAAGCAAAAATGTCTATCATATGACCCACGGTAGCTGAAAATTTCAGTACTGAATCCCTTCTACATACAAAGCCCTAGGACAAAAAACATTTATCAAGAGCCTAATTTGTATCTGGTTCATGAGAGGCAGTACGTACATCATTCCCTTTAATCCTAATACTAAAATAATCACCAGTTTTTCATGAGAAAATTCATATTAAGAAGCTTAAAACCTGGCAGAAAGCATTGCGATACTATGAGGCAATATTCAAACTCAGATCTGCCTAACAAAAGCTCAAGTTCCTGTTAAGGAAAAACCAAAGTGGGTATCTCTTCAATTTACATCCAACTGAACAACTCTACTTCAAATTCTTAAGTTTTCAGATGTTCGAATGACCCCATCTTCATCCCAATTAAAGAATACGATAAATACATAAAGTATAAAAAGTACTTTTTTTTAAATTCGAGGATAACTGCTTTACAATGTTGCGCTGGTTTCTGCCATACAAAGTGAATCAGCCGTAAGTGTATATACACATAAGCCCTTCCTCTTGAGCTTCCCTCCCACCCCACTGCCATGCCACCCCTCTAGGGCATCAGAGAGCACCAGGCGGGGCCCCCTGTGTTATACAGCAGCCTCCCACTAGGTATCTGTTTTACTACATGGGAGTGAATATATATCAATGCTACTCTCTCAATTCATCCCACCCTCTCACTCCCCTGCTGGGTCCACAAGTCCACTCTCTATGTCCGCATCTCTATTCCTGCCCTGCAAACAGGATCATCAGTACCATTTTTCTAAATTCCATCAGTCAGTCAGTCAGACAGTTCAGTCGCTCAGTCGTGTCCGACTCTTTGCAACCCCATGAATCGCAGCACACCAGGCCTCCCTGTCCATCACCAACTCCCGGAGTCTACTCAAACTCATGCCCATTGAGTCGGTGATGCCATCCAGCCATCTCATCCTCTGTCGTCCCCTTCTCCTCCTGCTCCCAATCCCTCCCAGCATCAGGGTCTTTTCCAGTGAGTCAACTCTTCGCATGAGGTGGCCAAAGTATTGGAGTTTCAGCTTCAGCATCAATCCTTTCAATGAACACCCAGGACTGATCTCCTTTAGGATGGACTGATTGGATCTCCTTGCAGTCCAAGGGACTCTCAAGAGTCTTCTCCAACACCACAGTTCAAATGCATCTAAATTCCATATACTATATCTGTTTTTCTCTTTCTGACTTACTCCACTTGTATAACAGGCTCCATGTTCATACCCCTCAGTTCAACTGACTCACATTCATCCCTTTTTATGGCTAAGTAATATTCCACTGTATACATGTACCATGACTTCTTTATCTATTGATCAATCGATGAGCATCTAGGTCATTTCCATGTCCTGGCAACTGTAAATAGCACTGCTATGAATATTGAGGTGCATGTGTCTTTCTGAATTATGGTTCTGACTGCTGGGTCATAGGTTTTATTGTTAGTTAAAAAGTACTTTTAAATAAACTAAAAGTTTAGTTATAAAAAACAATTTAAAGATCAAAAAAATCTTACTGTCTTTAAATATAAAGTTTACTTCACAAACTCTAGGTGGTCTCAGCTACAATCACAAAAATAGCATTTTATGAGGATGCAAATTGAAATTAAGTATTTTGAAGTTGTCACCATCAACAAGTATTTACTGAAACATAATCATAATTAAGGAGCAAATGATTATATAAATTATATTACACATAGAAGTTGCTGAAACAAAGAATCCAAGAGAAATGAACAGAAGGAACACAGAGAGGACCTAAAGAAGAAAAGTGAAAGCAATGGTAATGAACAAAGAAAGGCCCTATTTCAAATCCTCTGATATCCCTCACAAAGTTACTTCTAGAAGAAATTCAAAAGCACTACACCCCCACCCTGGGCGTGCACTCACACAGAAGGATCTCCTTCCAGCACCCTACCATAAAATATGGTGTCGCTACAATGTACTTATGTACAATTAAAGTCACCACTGGCTATTCAAAAGTAGTATACTAAAAAAAAAAAAAAGTAGTATACTAAACTGACTGTCCCATTTGTTGAAAATTAACAAGTTCCTGTTAATTGTTAATTAAATGAGCCTTCTTACAGGGAAACATGCTACTACAAACTTTAAATTATAAGGCATCAGACCAATTGTAACATATCCATAAAAGAAATCGTGCTTTCAAAAGAAGGATATTTGGCTTAGTTCATATGACATTATCACATCTAAATGGGTTTTTTCAAAGGAAAAAAATGTAAATGCTTAAAAACAATTTAGTTTTTAGAATGTCCAACATTAAATGTATAAATCAACAAAAATGTGAAATTTAAGTTTTATAAAAACCAAGATTATAAACAAATAGAGATCAAAAAGAAATTTTTCCTTATAAATTGTATACTAACAAACTACAAGAATATTATATGTAATTTATTAGAAATATTATTAATAAATTATAAAATTTGACATTTCAAACTGACAGCCTATTTCTCAGTACTTTGCTTTTAATAACTCTTGAGATATAAGATATAACTTTATTATGAGATTAGAAAAGAAGCACATTTCATATTCTTCTAGCAAATTATTCTAGACTTAGCTAATTTTTTTTAAAATAATTTTATTGTACATATGACCACCACTTGGATAAATTTGGGGATATTTTCATAGGAGAAATATCTATGACTTCCTAGCTCTTGTTTCTAAACTATGAAAAGAGAAATGAATTTACAAATAAGAAGTAAAAATCTAGTTGCAGTCCTCATCCTGTCACTAAGTAATTCTGTGACCTTGACTAAGTTATTCCACTCTGGGCTTCAGTGTCCATGTCTACAAAATGAAGAATTTCAACTACAAAATATCCACAAATTTGTATGGTATTTCTTAAACTTTTAAATTCTACTTTTTAAATGTTTCAAATGTTAACTCACCTCATCTGAAGAATCTAGTTGTCCTAATGTTCCTGCTGCACTTGCAAAACCTTTGGAAAGGAGAAAAACGTTGCCCTTCATAACTGTTATATATTGCTTTAAACTTAAAATTATTTTAAAACATAACAATATCAAAAGCTAAAGTTTTGTTAAGATAACTCATTCTAACAGTTATCTTGGCAGAATTCAACAGTTATCTTTAATAAATCTGGGCCCAATCAGTTTATACTTCAATAGGAAACCTCCAGTGAAAACCCAGATTTAATCATCACAAATAATGTTTCAGAAGGATTGCTTTCTTTTCTTTTTAAACCATGATTTACTAAAATATTGAACTACTAAAGTTTTGGGCTACTATTAAATAGCAACTGCTACATTTTTCATGAGTTCAAACTAGAACCTTTGATAAACTAACTGAATCCCTTTGAAGAAAAACAGAGTATCTTCTTTGACTAATCTATCCTTTCTTGCTTACAAATTTTTACTATTTTTATTACTTTCCTTACAAAGAATGACACAGCACTTAAATTTCTTCAATAATGAGTAAAGCTTGAGGGGTTTCTTGTTTTAATACAAAAAAGTTACCATTGTTCAAATTAAATATTTAAACAAACCTTGAACTGCCAGAGTGCTAGCGCCAGCAGATGGCTCTTGTATACCGTATACAAGTTTATCCTCAGGATATGTAAGTCCAGAGCTCTTCAAAGCTATAAGGTATTTTTCATGACTTTTCCTTGCACAAGCATTTTCTCCAAGACCTAATATTTAAAGTACATTTAAAAATCAGAAAAAAAAATTCCATTCAAAACATAAGTACCTCCACCTCAATAAATAATGTATACACATATAAAATAGATGACTATTCTAATTGGAGGGGAAACCCTAGAATGAATAATATAAAATAGCTATCAGACATTTCTGTGCTCATGTTTGGCATTAGTAATGTACAGCATGTTTACAGCAAATAATGAAATCCAGTAAGTAACTGGTCATCTTAAAGATGCCAGAGATTATATACAAAGCACAGGGGGTTCAAAGATTAATAAAACATGATTCCTATCTTCAAGGAACTTTTATTGTAAAGAAAGGCAGATAATATGGTAAGTGACAAACCTGTAGCAGACTTCACCATTTGGTTTCACAATCTGTGCTCTTGTAATACCATGCAACCAGACTTACCCAAAGCAAAGTTTTTGGAAAGGGTTCCTAGGGAAGATAATACCTGAGTGGAATTTTCAAATATTATAACTGAGACTTTTCTTAATTTCTGTTTTGCCAAGCATAAAATGTTTTTATAATGACACTCAGGTAATTAAAACCATAACTTGTACAGAAGTATCACTTAAAACAAATTTATTCCAAAATTTTGAGAAGTTTAGGTTCTAGAATTAAACAATCCTAGACATTTCACTTAGCATTTGATCATATTAATGTGAAGTTTGTCTTCTGTTTTGATTTCTAGTATATTATGGAGAACAGAATAATAATAAAAGAAAATACTGACATTTGAAAGCTCTTTAAAAGAAAAACTTATTCTCTGAAAGCCAAGTTACCATGTCATTTGCCACCTCTTAAGCTGAGAAGCCTGGCGGGCTACTGTCTATGGGGTCACAAAGAGTCAAGACGCAATTGAGTGACTAAGCAAACAGACACACACACAAGGAGACTATACATCTTTAATTAAGGTTTCAATCTCTCTGATTATAAAAGTACATAGTAAATGAGTTTCTTTAATAGTTGCTGAGCTTTCCTCAATTTCCTCTCTTTGCTAGTCTCAATAATTAGAATAGAATAGCTTAGTTTTTTTAAATCTCTGTCCAATCTCTGGGCTAATTAAAAAAAAAAAGAAAATAAAACCTTCAGCACATATTAAACAGGAATACATCTATCCTTCAACTCAAGTCCAAAATTAAAAACAACCACAGTTTATAAAAAATAAAGGACTTCAAGGGTCCTATGTAAGAAATGACTAAATATCTTCTGAATAATAAAAATCATGCGTTTATCTCAGTAACAATAAATGAAATTTTTGCCATACTTTTAATTAACAAAATATATTTCAGGGACTTCCCTGGTGGTCCAGTGGTTAAGAATCCCTGCTTCCACTGCAAGGGGTGCAGGTTCACTCTCTGGTCATGGAACTGAGATCTGGCATCCCATGCAGTGTGACCAAGAGAACACAAAACTTTCCTATAATTATTTCTTAATTTAGTTGAACATACTTTCCTTTAAATTGTTGAACATATCTGTAATAGTTTTTTAATCTCTTTATCTGCTAAATCCAACATCTAGGCCATTTCAAGGTCAATTTCTATTAGTGTCCTTTTTCTTGGTTACACTGCACAATTTCTTATTTTTTTGTATGTCTAGCAGTATTTATTATATACTGGATATGCTGATGACACATTATCATAGAATCTGGATTCTGCTATCTTCCTTTGAAGAGTGTAAATTTTAATTCTGCAAGACTTACAGCCTGATCACAGAGAATTTCTCAAGACTCGGTTTTATAGTTTGTAAGAGACAAATCCCTTGCTATTATACAGTGGAAATGACAAATAGATTCAACACATTAGATCTGAGAGACAGAGTGCCTGAAAAACTATGGACGGAGGTTCATGACACTGTACAGGAGGCAGCAATCAAGACCATCCCCAAGAAAAAGCAATGCAAAAAGGCAAAATGGTTGTCTGACAAGGCTTTACAAAGAGCTGATAAAAGAAAACAAGAGAAAGGCAAAGGAGAAAAGGAAAGACATACCCATTTGAATGCAGAGTTCCAAACAATAGCAAGGAGAAATAAGAAAGCCTTCCTCAGTGATCAATGCAAAGAAATAGACGAAAGCAATAGAGTGGAAAAAACTAGAGATCTCTTCAAGAAAATTAGAAATAACCAAGGGGAAATTTCGTGGAAAGATGAGCACAATAAAGGACAGAAACGGTATGGACCTAAAAGAAGCAGAAGAGATTAAAAGGTGGCAAGAATATACAGAAGAACTATACAAAAAAGATTTTCATGACCCAGATAACCACAATGGTGTGATCACTCCCCTAGAGCCAGACATCCTGTAATGTGAAGTCAAGTGAGCCTTAGGAAGCATCACTACAAACAAAGCTAGTGGAGGTGATGGAATTCCAGTTGAGCTATTTCAAATCCTAAAAGATGATGCTGTGAAAGTGCTGCACTCAATATGCCAGCAAATATGGAAAACTCAGCAATGGCCACAGGACTGGAAAAGGTCAGTTTTCATTCCAATCCCTAAGAAAGGCAATGCCAAAGAATGCTCAAACTACTGCACAATTACACTTATCTCACACTCTAGCAAAGTAATGCTCAAAATTCTCCAAGCCAGGCTTCAACAGTACATGAACCGAGAACTTCCAGATGGTCAAGCTGTATTTAGAAAAGGCAGAGGAACCAGAGATCAAATTGCCAACATCCACTGGATCATCAAAAAAGCAAGAGAGTTCCAGAAAAACATCTACTTTTGCTTTATTGATTACGCCAATGCCTTTGACTGTGTGGATCACAATAAACTGTGGAAAATTCTTAAAGAGATGGGAATACCAGACCACCTTACCTGCCTCCTGAGAAATCTGTATGCAGGTCAAGAAGCCAACAGTTAGAACTGGACATGGAACAACAGATTGGTTCCAAATCGGGAAAGGAATACATCAAGGCTGTATACTGTCATCCTACTTATTTAACTTATGTGCTGAGTATATCATGCAAGATGTCAGCCTGGATGAAGCACAAGCTGAAATCAAGATTGCCATGAGAAATATCAATAACCTCAGATATGCAGATGACACCACCCCTATGGCAGAAAGCGAAGAACTAAAGAGCTCTTGATGAAAGTGAAAGAGAAGAGAGTGAAAAAGTTGGCTTAAAACTCAATGTTCAGAAAACTAAGATCATGGCATCCAGTCCCATCAATTCATGGCAAATAGATAGAGAAACAATGGAAACAGTGACAGACTTTATTTTGGGGGGCTCCAAAATCACTGTAGATGGTGACCACAGCCATGAATTTAAAAGATGCTTTGCTCCTTGGAAGAAAATCTATGACCAACCTAGACAGCATATTAAAAAGCAGGGACATTACTTTACCAACAAAGGTCCATCTAGTCAAACCTATGATTTTTCCAGTAGTCATGTATGGATATGAGAGTTGGACTATAAAGAATACTGAGCACCAAAGAATTGATGCTTTTGAACTGTGGTGTTGGAGAAGACTCTTGAAAGTCCCTTGGACTGTAAGGAGATCCAACCCGCCCATCCTAAAGGAAATCAGTCCTGAATATTTATTGGAAGCACAGATGCTGAAGCGAAACTCCAATACTTTGTCCATCTCATGCAAAGAGTTGACTCACTGGAAAAGACCCTGATTCTGGGAGGGACTGGGGGCAGGAGGAGAAGGGGACGACAGAGGATGAGATGGCTGGATGGCATCACCAACTCGATGGGCATGAGTTTGAGTGGACTCCGGGAGTTGGTGATGGACAGGGAGGCCTGGCACGCTGCGATTCATGGGGTCGCAAAGAGTTGGACACAACTGGGCGACTGAACTGAACTGACTGAAAGGTGTAAAAACTATTTTATATTACAGTACAAACATACGTAACAACTTTAAGTTTCATAACTTAAATTCTACATCAGTATAAAATCCGAGGTCATACACATAAAAGTTTAGGATACCAAACATGAAGACACAAGAATGATGGCTGTTATTGTTTGGAGAAAGGGAGGTAGAGTATAATTAGAAATATGTCACACCAAACTTGGGAAGCCTGGGTTCCAATCCCAACTCCAAAATCAGTTAATTGCGATGTCTTGAACTGGTCATTTAATTTTTCTGGGGTTCAGTTTCTTTATCCATTATATAGGAAGTATTCTTAATAACTTTTAGCTTTAGCATTCTACTAAAAAACCTACATTTTACTTTTAAGTTTTATTTTTCATTAGTATAGTAATATAAGTAAATTTTAACTTTCTTCTCTTTGAAATTTTACTCACCAGAAGTCAGATCTTTGTAGTTTTGTTGGTTTGTTAAAACCTGAGTAAGAACAGACCGCATTGCTCCTCCCATTTTAGTTAGATCTTCTAAAAAGGAAATTTGAGGTTCCAAAAGCTGAAGGACTTTATTAAGGTCTTTCTCTGATGGAACATCAGCTGCTAAAAAAAAAAATGCAATCAATTTTCTTTAAAATATTTTGCTAAGAATAATATTTTATTCCCTTAAAAACACAGTAACTTAGATAACAGCATTTTATAATCAAAAAGTTAATATAAGAACTCGTTTCAGAAAGCAGGAACCTACTCAGCACCCAGCTAGGGTAGACTTGTTTAGGAATTCAGTCCTCTGAGAAAAGACTGATGAAGAAAAGAGATGACATCATAAGGTACTGGGTGTCCCAAGTGGCTCAGACAGTAGAGAATCTGTCTGCAATGCAGGAGACCTGGGTTCAATCCCTGGGTCAGGAAGATCCCCTGGAGAAGGAAATGACAACTTACTCCAGTATTCTCGCCTAAAGAACTCCATGGAGACAGGAGCCTGCTGGACCACAGTATATGGGGCCGCAAAGAGTTAGAAATGACTGAGTGACTTTCACTCACTCATTCACTCACTCACTCATCAAGTATTAATCACTTAATATGTGTAAAATGCATTCAACTGAGGGTTCTATACTTACAGATATATACATGTAATCAAAAGATCATCTCAAAATTAGATGAACAGAGTTTAAGAAAAAGTTAAGATTACTCTCTAAAACAAAACAAGACAGAAATCAAATATATTCAGATAGTATAAGAATATTAGGACAAAATTATATCAGTTCTAAATTAAAATCTGTGTAGCATATAACCCATCCTTTATCATATTCCAAAAATACAGACTCATGTTAGCTAAAAATCAAAGCAACTAATTAGAAAAATATGATGTTTTTACTAAAACAATTTTAAAATACCAGGCAAGATATGCTGGTAGAGGGGAAGAGAAGAAATCTAGAAATCTGGACAGCAAATTAAAAAGAATAGTTAAGAGGAGAAGAAAAAGATGTTTTAGAAAAACTGAGGTCTAAAAGAAAGAAATGGAGAGAGAGATTTACAGCTTAATTATAACTGGTTAAAAGAAGAATGCATATATGGGAGCTAACAGGGGGCCTATGTGCCCAAAAAAGGAGACATCAAGTTCTTTAAACATTTATTCAGTATCTACTATATGACAAACACTGAGAAGCAAAACTAAGTAAGACATCGTTCCTACCCCCAAGGAACCCCCAATCTAGTTCAAAGATAATCTGTGAATAAAATTACATATAACTCTGAGTCATGGAATCCAAGCCAAAAACCTTACTTTCTCAGTGGAAAACCAATACTGTGTATTCTTCTTCTTTCTATTCTCCCCAGTGACTTATGTCACAACATAGTAGAAATTTAATTAACATTTGTTTTTTATTTCCAGGGGCTCTAACACAAGCTCTGACAGAAAGGATGGTAGGGTGAAATGGAAAATAGAACTCCAGGTTAACTGTCAAACCATAAGATTACCTCAGCTTCCATTATCTCAGATTAGATGATTTCAAATATTCTAATCTTTTTTTTTCTCTTTAATTTCAAACAGTGATCTACGCAGAAATGAATGTAGTAGTTTACTTTTGCATAGACATAAGAAATTAATGCTGAGTACAAGCAGTAATACAGAGAGAAAAAGTTCATGAACCTAAGTTCACAAAATTCATCTTAAAACAAAAAAAGTGCTTCCATTCATTCCTTTATGTTTTCGGATAATGGTAACATAATTATCAAAACTATGTACCTATGTCATCCACCTCTTATAACTGTTAAGTGTCACCAAGGAAAATATAAATATAATATATACTCATATTAATTACTCTTTGATTAACTAATGGTAAGCTTTAAGATTTGCATAATAAGTGATTTCTACCTATTATTTTTCTAAAATAGGACACTTGTAGCATAAAATGTGAATATCCAAAAAATCTGTTAACTAACATACATAAAATAAAATGTAAGGAAATTTCAATAACCCTGCTGGTCTCCAGTTCCTTCATTCCAAAGAGAAAGCAGTTTGGGACTAAATCAAAATAATATTACTTTCTCTATTTTAATGCATACCACAAGTATTTGTCAAATACAAAAGACTATATTCTGCTTAAAAGTAGAAGTGAGAAACTATAAGTATTTGTTCACTATGCAAATAACATAATAGTTTTAGAAATGATGACGATACTATAATTCTTCACACTTCTAGATGCAAGAGAGAAGATAAACATGTGTGCCATAGCTTCAAATTGGATTTAAGATTACTTACAGTATTAAATAATTTAAAAGCTCTAAAAGTAATGCAAATGCAGGCCCTTAAATGATAAAAATGCAAGTATCTCTGGAAAGGCAAAAGCCATCATAAAAAGTTAATGTTTGGTTCATACCACTAATTGATATCTGTAAGTCACAACGTCAGACTGAGAACTTTTAATAAATGATATCTAAGTTGAGACATTTAACTAAAGCATATTAATCAAGATTGTGACTAAATCTTAAAAAGTAAGAATAATAATGATAATTTGCATGTTTCTTTTCTCTTTTCAATACAATCAGGATGCTCACAGAGATACATTCTACCAACAATATGGGAATAAGCAACTTGTTCCCTAAGTTGTTATATAAAGAGGGGAATAAATATATATAGACTTCTACAAAAAAGGAGGAGGGAGAGAGATTGGTGAAATAGATTATCTCCTAAAAATCTAAGTTAAAGTCAAACACTTTCAGGACTTCTTAATTCTGCTCTATCACAATACAATCACAAATCAAATCACTTCAACCCCATAAAATAATTATTTCCTCTTCTGCAGAAGGCCAAATAAGTTTGATCAGAGGCATTTATAACCCAGCAAAACAGATTGCCACACTGTGCCTACTACAAGGTATCTATGAGGTTATATAATTGATATTTAGTGTGCTTTTATTTAGTATATCATAATCATCACATAAAAAACGTTAAGCCAAAAAAAAAAGGTATCTGAAAAAATTTACCTCATTGTTAGTGCTAAACTTTGTTAATTGAGAACTTAAAAAGAGTACTAACAAAAAAATGGATTAAACATACCTGGTTCATTATAGCCTTCTCTTAAATACTGAATAAGACAAAAAATAAATCTTGGAAGAACAAATTCAGACATCATCAGTAAGTCTTTGGGGACACAGGGAATATTTGAACTTGATTTAATTTGATGCCTTTTGCAAAACCTGTAATAGGAAAAAGAAAAAAAAATTAATGGTGCTGTCAAATCTGCTAAGAATATATTAATTCTATTTACCATATCCATAAACAGAATGTGGGCCAATATCAAAAGGAATGTCTTACTCTTTTTATGATTTTAAGGCACCAAGTTAAAAGTATGTAGTTTTAACTGATCTTTAAATAAAAATTGGCACTGAGGAAGATTTCTTCCTAATAAAACATCATATCAGCTACATTTCAACTAGAATACAAAAAGAAATCTCGTTACCAACTTTATACTTTTTAACTGCAATTTATTAGTTTCAAGGATTAATTTATTACTTTTACTCTTTATAAATCATTAAGTAAAAATTGATTATTTCCCAAACTTGGGAATTATAAACTGGGATTATTTCAAAAACTTGCATTTTTCCATGCCTTAACTATTTCTAACTTATTGCATTAATGAATAGATAAGTGATATAAATACTTAAGAGTTTATTTGAAAAGTATATACACTTAAGTATGCACATTTCTTCTGATCTTATTTATACTAATTTTAAAGTATGACTGGTATATTTGAGCAAAATTGAAGTAAACTATTTTATATTTATAATCTGAATGGTCATAAATAAGGTATTTTGTGACCAAACACAAAATAAACACACTAAACATGAAACAGACCTAGAAAGAAACTTATTACAACAGATGGAGAAACTATGTTAGCTGAAAAACATAAAAATCTGAATAGAGAAAAACCACATTCCCAAATGGAAAAAGACTAAAAAAAAAAAGTCTCTTCCACCAAATGCAATGACATAAGATTTAAATTTCAATGGGACTAATCACAAACTAATTCTAAAGTTCAAATGGAAAATCGTATGTGTGAAAGAAAATAAGTAAAACATCTTACAAAATGATTAATGATAGTGATCTACACTTTAAAACATAAGACAATATGGATGAATTGCTGCAATCTCATGACAAAACTCAAATGGATAAGGAGTTATTTCTTATGAATGAGCAAAAAAAAAAAAAAAGTGTCTTTTTTTTGCGATTGAATCTCTCCTGGTAAAGATTGTTGAAATGACAGCAAGGGATTTAGAAAATTATACAAACTGAGTTGGTAAAGCAGTGGCAAGATTTGAGAGGATTGATTCAAATTTTGAAAGAAACTCTCCCATGAGTAAAATGCTATCTATTGACAACAGCATTGAATGCTGCAGAGAAATTGTTCACGAAAGGAAGAGTCAATTGATATGGCAAACTTCATTTATCTTAAGAAATTGCCACAGCCCACCCCAATCTTCATCATCCACCACTTGCTGATCAGTCAGCAGCCATAAATTACAAGCAAGACACTCCACAAACTAAAAGATTATAACTCACTGAAAGCTCAGGTGATGGGTAGTATTTCTTAGCAAATAAAGTTTTTTTTGTTTTTCTTTTTTTAATGTAAAAAATAAAAAAATAAAACATAAGACATAATTTAAAATATGCAGTAATGTCTCCATAATGACCCATATGGGAAAAGAATCAAAAAAAGAGTGGATATATGCATATGTATATAACTGATTCACTTTGCTGTAAACTATATGCCAATAAAAAAAATTTTTAATAAAAACAAAATAAAATCTGTGATAATATGATATCAATAAACCACAATGGATTCTAGAAACAGACTATGTAATACCTAAGTCAATTAATGTGTGGGGGGTGGGTAGAAAATTTTCAATAAATTGCTAAAGGACTAATTGGTTACATTGCAGGAAATAAATTTGATCCTTCTCTTATACCATATACAAACTATATTCCACATAGATGAAAAAATCAAGCAGGAAAAAATTTACCAGGAAGAAAATAAACCATTACTCATATTATCTCAAAGAACAGAAGTCAAAGTAAGATTTAAAATCAAAAGTCATAGAAGAAAGCTAAAAATTGGCTACACAAATTAAAAGTTTCTATGCAGAAAACAACTACAAACTGGAAAAAAAATTTATAACATATAAAATATTAATATCTATGATCTTTAAACTCTTGACAAATGGGTTTAAAAGAAAATAATTCATAAAAAAAAACAGCCAAGGTCATGGGCAATTCACAAAAGAAGAGAATGACCAACAAATATGAAAAGATGTTCAAGTTCTGCAACAATCAAATGAATGAAGTTATTAAAATAAAAAATGAGCAATTAGAAAATCACCATTTTGTGATACCTATAAAATAACTGTCCCATGCAATGGAGTCATTAAAGAAAGGCTTAAAGAGAAATTTTCCACTTAGAGAGCAGACTGTTACAGCCATATCAATCTTAGTATCACCAGAAGAGGGAAAAAAAAAATCAGATGCTATGATGCTTCTGAAGTACACAGTGCCATTTACAAAGAGTTTTTACAAAACAAGTTTAACCGAAATGACACTAGAGCTAAGTAGTGAAGTCTCTAGAGCTAAGAGATAAAGAAATAAGTTAAATGACACCATAAGAAAGCAAATAGAAAAATCATGAAAGTAGAACATTATATAGGACAACTGACTCCACTGCAACTCATCACTGCAACCTGCCAGTGGCTGACAGAAAATGGAGGCAGAAGGAGCATGGGTTAAGGGGCCTGAGACACCCAGCAGCCAAATGTAACATGTGAACGGATTCTAACCTAAACCAACTTGGAAAAGGCATTCTTTAGAAAACAGAAGTCCAAATAAGAACTGAGTACTACTTTGTTAAATAATTTTACTAGGTAAGATAATGGCATTGTGGTTATGTAAGAAAATGTTCATGGATATTTGACAGTAATAAGGAATTAACTTTGTGGAGGTATGACAACAGCATTGTGGTTATCACTGAATAGGACAGTCTTGTCTTTTAGATATCTCTTTGTAAGTGTTTATGAATAAAATGCTACAATGCATCAGACTAGCTTCAAAATAATTTGGTTGTGTAAAGGAAAACAAGTAGGAGTGTACCAAGGCCAGCTTGAGCTGATAACTGCAGAAACTGGGGGACTGATAAGGGGTTGTGTCACACTCATTAAGCAGAACGTGGGCCAACGTCAAAGCCAGTGAAGTACCACCACTTTCAGATTTTTAAGACATCAAGACAAAAGAACGCAGTTTTAATTGGTCCTTAACAAAACATCACCAAAGGAGTTTTTTCCTAATAAAATGTTGTATCAATTAAGTTACACTCATTGCTTTTATACCTGTATGAAATTTTCTCCACTAAAAGGCTAAAAATTTTTCTAAAGAAAGAAAATACACTGAAACATATAAGGCAGTGATCAAACATGTTTGGGATTTGTTTCAAAACATTTTGGCAAAAGAGAAAAAAGAAGAAAATGAGGCAAACATGTCGAAAATCTTGATAAATATTGAGTCTGATGATAGGTGTATGGAGGTTCAAAGTTCTATCTTTACCTTTGTGTATGGCTAAAATTTTTGATAACATAAAAATGTTTTTTCATCTTGCAGATTAGGGAAAATTCACTTTATTAACTCACTGGAAAGCATGTTCAGAAATTTGTCATCATACACAGGGAAGGATAAATAGATCAAGTTCTGGATGACATTTTAACAGTATCTATTAATACTCTGGGCTTCCCTGCTGGCTCAGACGGTAAAGAGTCTGCCTGCAATGTGGGAGACCTGGGTTCAAGCCCTGGGTTGGGATGATCCCCTGGAGGAGGGCATGAAAACCCACTCCAGTGTTCCTGCCTGGAGAATCCCATGGACAGAGGAGCCTGGAGGGCTACAGTCTGTGGGCGGCAGAGTCAGACACAAATGAGCAACTAAGCACAGAACAGCATTAACACCTGAGGTATTCATAACCTTACCTGAGCATTTCTACTTCTTGTAATTAGAAATAATTCTAAATTTGCAAGAATATATCTACAGATATAGTCACTGTACCACAGTTTGCAATGCAAGAAAGTCAGGAATTACTCATGTGTTCAGTAATAAAGATTAACCAAAATTTTGTAGATCAATAAAAAACACTGAATTTGTTATAATGAATGAGGTAGATCAACAAGTACTGAAGTGGAATTATATCTAAAATAAATGAGAAAAGAATTGCATACCATACATATAGATGTACATATATATAAAATAATCTTTTATAAATAAAATTTTGGACAAAGAATAGAAAAAATAACATCTGTAAGAATAAAAATATTCAGAGAAATGTACACCAAATTTTGTAGAAATTAACTGAAAATGGGATACAGCATACTTTTACTGTCTACATTAATTGTGCCTACAATGTTTAAATTCTGTAAGATAAATATATGTATAACTGTGTAATCAAAAGGAAAAAACCTACCCCCAAAATGAACAATAAGTTATGCCATTCATTTGGCTTAGTTTGACAATTTGAACGTTCATTCTTAACCTTTTTTGGCTAATAGACCCTTTTCAGCATCTAATGAAAGTTATAACTCTTTCTTAAGAAAAATATACACAAACACAAAAAAATAAAACAGAGTGCTCACATACTACTTAAGTCTACTACCCTTAAAGCAGAGCTTCCAAACATCAGGTCAACATATTATAGTGTAGAAACAGGTAGCTGCCTCAGTCCTCACATAGATAGACGGGCAGGGTCTGAGCAGCCTCCTCAGCTGCTTCTGTGTCCCATCCAAATATCATTTCCATATTTATCACAGAATGAAAAAAGTTAGGAAAAAAAAAGTCATACCCTAAGGTCTTCCCTGGTGGCTCAGCTGGTAAAGAATCCACCTGTAATGTGGGAGACCTGGGTTCAATCTCTGGGTTAGGAAGATCCCCTGGAGGAGGGAATGGTTACTCGATCCAGTATTCTGGCCTGGAGAATTTCATGGACCAGATAGTCCATGGGGTCACAGAGTCAGATAGAACTGAGCAACTTTCACTTTTCACTTTCACTTTTCATTACACCTAGAAGTCCAAATCTTTATTTAAAGGAAAATAGGAACTTAAGAACTTCTTTCAGATGGGGTACATAAAATCTAAGTAAATTCAAAGAAACTTTTAAAATTCTCCTCTAAAT